CAGGGAGGTAGCAGACAAACTTTTGTCTGCTGCTTTCAGTGTAGGTGTTACAGCAGGCTGGCTTGGCTGAGGTCATGGATGGTGGGAGCTGTGTCTGGAATTGGGCAAAGGTAATTGCTTGCTTCCAGACCATCATTCTTGTTGCATCTCTACATGTATTTGTTGAGTTACTAATACAGTGTGCTCCTTGTCCTTGTCTTGAAATCCTAGGTAGTACAAAGGATGCAAAGTAATTTCAGATTTACTTCTTGTTATTTACTGCTGTGCTAAGTTTAGCTGTAATTCCCATCTTGCCCTAAATATATCTAATATATAAGCTCCACCCAAAATAGCTTCATTAAAGGAAGAACTCTCTTCCCCCGGCTCAAAATGTTTAACTTCAAAGATCAGTATATGTTCTGGGGAGGTTTACCCGTAGGAAAAACAGCTTTCCATATAATAGAAGAAATGTGGGTTTGATCAAGAAAACAAGTAAGCAAAGAAACATCCATATGAGATACAGTTTGCTAAGAAAAATACCCCCTTGCCACAGTCAGCCCACTTTTCTAACTTGGCAGAAAATACTGAAAACAAAATTGTGGATTCTTTGTTATCTGCAAAGTCCATCTGTTGTGTGCTGGCCCATTTAACCTCCTATGGTTGCATTCCCAAGTTAATATGAAACAAATTACATTCAGATTAAAGCAGAATCCCAGAGGAAAAAATAACCTGAGATAGATGTGGCAAAGCACAATGATGAACAGAAAAGCTTCATTGCAAGACAAGAGAGAATTGGAAAGAATTTCCTTGTGGTTGATAAAGCCTCTGGGTGACCCCACAGGGTCACGGAATCCATATTGTGATCTTCCATGCTTTGCTGGCAATTGTCCACAAGGCCTCGTTGGTTTGTCACAGGCAGTGCCTTTATCAGAGGTAAAGCCTCACACCTTGAATTTCTCAGTGAGTTTTGACAGCAGAAACTCACCCAGCACACCCTTAACTTCAGCTCACTTTTCCTGTGAGCAGCTTCAAATAAATGCCTTTCCTCTGTTTTAGTGACTGGTGTGCTGCTCAGCTGCTACCTGTCAGGGAAGGTTCACTGCTACTTGGAGACCAGCACACCTTGGTGCATTTCCTCACACAAGATGTGTGATCAGGTCCCTCTTTTTGCTCCTCCTTTCAAAGGTACCTGTTTAATTTCCGGGGAGTGGCGGCCAGTTTCCGCTTGAAGCACCTTTTCCTGTGCGGCTCACTCGTCTTCCATGTCGGAGAGGAGTGGTTGGAGTTCTTCTACCCCCAGCTGAAGCCTTGGGTCCACTACATCCCAGTGCGGTCAGACCTCTCTGACGTCAGGTGTGGGGCCTGAGGCCACTCCATGGAGCACTGCATACCACGGGGAATGCCTTTGGGAAGGTGGGATGGTTTGTGTTAGGCCATGAAGTGCCTCCACTCTGAGGCATCAGGCAAAGATTCTTGGAGGTCATGGTCTTTTTGTCACTACCCCCAGAGAATCCTTTGCTGATATTACTTGGGGAGTGCAGTTTCACTGGAGTAAGTCTCTCACTCTCACTGAAATCAGCAGGCACTAGACACTTAAATTTGCAAGTGGGCAGCAGTGATAAGGGGGAAGAGGAACTTACCAGTGGGCCAAAAATGTATTAGCTCCCAGATTTCAGGAAGTTGTCCAGAAGTGATGTGAAACAATCAAGCAGAGAAGTTGCTTCTGTGCTGAGGTGAGCAGCTCTTTCACTCACTTGTAGACTCTTAACCTCACCCTCCCCAACAATTTAGCTAAGGGATTATGTTCTCCACTGAGCCAGTTGTTTCATAGCTTTTTTTTTTTTTGTGTGTATGTGTCTTCATTTTAGGGAGCTCTTGCAGTTTGCAAAGGAAAACGATGCCATAGCACAAGAAATTTCAGAGAGGTAAGCAGTATGTCCTTCCTGGCTATTGGGCAGTCTTCTTCCAAAACATTGTCTTACACTGCTTTTGAAGGGGTTGCCCATCAAAGAGAACCAGTATTAGTAAGGTGCAGTATAACTGATCTTCTGCAATGACAGCAGGAGGGCTGGAGCAGTGACAGCAAGCAGAGGGAAGCAGAGAGCAGGATGCTGTGCTTAGCTCTTCGGTTCACATGTGACCCATGTCAGGAACCCCATGGAAAGCTGGCAGAGGTTGGGAGCTTTTGTCTCAGTATGACACAAGCTGGCTCCTGGGAGCTGTGTCTGCACTGTAAACATTATCTATCCAGGCTGCTCTGAAGCAGCATGCATCAGTGCTGCTCTAGCTGCATGTGATAAGTGAAATCTGATATTTATTATCCCAGATAGCAAATACCGTCCTGAGGATAGCAAAAGCACTGCAGCCGTCAGAGCTGTGAGCATGAATGAAAATTGTAAAATTAAAACAGACAGTACAGAGCAGTGTGTGTTGTTTCTCATTTGAAACAAGGAAATGTGAAAGTTGATACACATCCAAACCAAAACTAATGACTCTTGTAGGAACTGGAAAACAGTCCTGACTGTGACTTGTGTGTCTCTAGGGGACGTCAGTTCATCACTGAGCACCTGGAGATGGAGGACATCTCTTGCTACTGGGAGCATCTGCTGTCTGAATATTCCCAAATCTTGACTTACAAAGTGAAAAGGAGGAAGAGCTACAGCGAGATCACTTCTGGACAGCTGAAAACAGAACTGTAGAGACTTCTCTGTTTTTCTCTCTGGCTCAAACTGATCACTGGAAATCTGAAGATCAGTATTAACTTATTTCTTGCTCTCTCAGACTTACCTTTCACAGTAGGACTACAGAGAACAGCAGTAGGCCGACTTGGACATTGCTTCCAGGCACTGGGACCTGGTTATATTGTCACCACAAGAATGTTAAGCAACAAATTGGTTTAAGGCTATTTAATGGGGTGGTCAGTTATGCCTAGAGGAGGGATGTTAGCATTTAGGACTTAGTTACTACCTGTCTCAAAATGATGCTAAATCCCATTCAGTCAATGAGAAGCCTTACTGGACTTATTACCAAAGGTCATGGCAAAGGACACAGACTGAGCTGCACTCAGCTAGTAAATACTTGCCCCTTTGTTTGGCAAATGTTTTCTCAACTGGGTGATAGCACTTGGGGTATTAGGTGTTCTCTGACATGCAGGTACTGGGATTTGGGGGTATATAACTTTCTGGATAGCTTAGAGTTTCTTTATGTTGGGTTTTAGAGGTTGATGGTAAGGTTTTGACATGCCCTTGGAGGATAACTGATCCTTGCAGAGTTACCCTACCTACCTCACAGGGGATCAGCATATGGTGGTGATGGGGCCATCATCAGTGATGTGCTTGGCAACTGAGACAGATTCATCCTCCAGCAGATGAGCTGGGTGCCTACACAGCCCTGCACAAGTGAGCCCCTGTTAATTGTCTCTCACCAGCTGCCTGGCCAGACATCCTGGGATGCCATCCGTAGGAACCCAGAGAAAGTATTCACAGAGGTAGATTCAGCACTTCCTTTTTCCAAAAGTGCAGAGTCTGCTCTGATCCCCTTCTGTAATATTTCCAGGATTATTTTGACGTTTTGTTGTTTTGGGTTTTTATTTTTTTGTTTTTTGGTTTTTTTTTTTTGTTTTGTTTTGTTTTGGGTTTGTTTTGTTTTGTTTTGTTTGGGGTTTTTTGGCTTTTTTTTTTTTTATTTGTTTGTTTTTTTTGAGACTGGTAATACATCTGCTCACTTTAGTACTTGCTTTTCTTCCCCACAGCTGTACCACTTCTTTTTTCATCTCCTTCAGCCTGAGGGAATGTCTTCAGTCACACAGTAGCGGTACTGCTCACATTACCTATTTTGAGTTGCTCACAGGCTGCTTGTGCTCGCTGTGTTTATGCCCACCACAGCCTCTTGGCTAAGAAGGACTGCAATTCCTGAAATGCTCTGTGCCCCCTAAGATGAGAGGCTGGGAGGCAGCAGCATCTTCCCTGGCACCCAGACAGGAAGAGTGTGGGGTGCCAGCAGGGACACAGGAGCCTCCCAGGGGAGCCTCCTTGTTGGTAAAGCAGCCTCAAGGCTGAGAGAGCAGCACATTATAATGGAAGAGGATGATAGCAACAGCTCTCAGGCCCTCTGCAGTCAGTGTGTATCAGGGAAGAAGGAAATTGCATGGAACAATAACATTTAATGTGTGCCCTCACAGAGGCCTTGCAGCCCTGGCACAGGGACACGGCAGCTGGCCCTATTGATCAAGTGCTGGTTGCTGGGACAGTGTGTTGGTTTTGGGACCAGTGCTGGGGTTATTCCATCCAGCAAAGGAAACAGAATGGGGCATTAAAAGAACCTGGTTTCCCAGGAAAGTTGTGCCAGAGTGGAAAGGGTTTTCTGGTTTTCTATTTTTAGCCAACGGACAGACAGCACTCCAAGAAACTGAACATCTCTGTATGATATTTTAAAACCATTTGTAATGAAGGGCTTTTTGGAATAAAACAAAAAATAATGAAGTTTTGTTGGATGCATGTTTCTTCATCAGAAGAGTGATAAGAGGTCTGCAGAGCCCCAGCTTTTCCACCCATAGATCTTGCGATGACACTTGATTGTTGCAGCTTAGGTGGCCCTTGGCCAAAGTGATGGTTCTTCAGGGGGTGGGGGGGGGGGGAAGAATCCCGGGAATTCAAGAACCATGGGTTAAAATATGCACAAGCTCGGTGGGAAGGCCCAGGCACCTCCCCTGGTGGGGAGCGTTCCCTGCTTTGGTGAAAGGAGGAATTCACAACAGAGATGTTTTAGGGAAGGCAGTGAGCCCCATGAGAGGCACCATCTCGCCGCGCAGGATTTGCGTCTTACCGGCTTCAAAGCCCGGGGGCTGCTCCCTCTCTGTCCTATGCAAACCGGGCATCACAGCCCCCAGAACTCAGCTGCTCTCCCTGCACAAAGGGGCAAACACTCGGAGTCATTAATCAGTAATTAACGCAGAGCCGAGCCGTTCCGAACCGGCCCGAGCGGTTCCGAGCGGTTCCGAGCCCTCCTTGCAGTGCCCCGCCGGGCCGCAGGGGGCGCTGCCGCTCCGCGCGCCGCCGCCGCGGGCCCGGCCATGGCGGAGCTCCGCGGTGCCCGGGCGGCCTTGGGCGGCCCCGCGCCGCTGCCGCAGACGGGCTGGGAGCGGCTCCGCGAGCTCTGGCGGCGAGAGTGAGCGCCGGGATGGGGTGGGACGGGCGGGCGGGGCTGGGTGGTGGCGGTCCCGCCGTGCCCACCCCGCGCCCATCGCCGCCCTTGCCTTGCAGCGAGCAGCAGCAGTTCCCGGAGGAGACGGTGAACATGGCCAAGGCGGCGTTCACGGCGGGCGTGGTGGGCTGGCTGTACGGGGGGCTGCCCGCCTTCGTCAGCGCCCGCAAGGCCTTCATCGAGAGCAGCCACGGCGAGATGTTCCAGAACCGCGCCGATGCCGTGGTACGGGCCCGGCTGGCCTCGGGCTGGGGGGACGCGTGTGCCGGCTCTGGCACAGAGTTTGTGTGAGTGCGTGCAGGACAGCCGCTGCGGGAATTAGCGGGAATTAATTAGCGTTCCACGTCAGCCAAATTGCAAATCAGCTTCAGAAAAGCGTCCTTCGTTACAGGGAATGTTGGTACCAAAGTTTACCGTTCTCTTAAGTGGCTGATTAATACGTCTCGAAAAGGCTTCCTGCTTTTACGTTTTAGTCTGCTGACAGGAGACTTCACAGTATCAAACTGGGATTGTACTCTTGTCTTATTAATGCGAGTCATTTTTAGACCATTTAAAATTCTTTTAGAAGAACAGCACAACAAAGAACACTTGTGACATTTTGTAGATGTATTTGAACTTCTAGGTGTTTGTTATTCAATTAAAGTGTTGGTTACGTGGATTATGAGGAAGAAAATATTTTTAAAAATCTGCCTGATGTAAATTTTGTATTACTTACCATTAGATTTGGCCTCTGATGTGGTGACCTGCAAATTACCACTGCCTGGCTTCACTCTGGTGACTGTGGTATATCTGACCCAGGCTAAGCACCTACACCACAAACACTGGAAGAGAAAATTTATTTACTTTCATGGTATTCAGTGCAACATTTTTAATTTTTGTGAACCCTCTGTTTACCACTTATTTTAAAAAACCTCTTCTTTTCAAACATTTAAGTGCCAGTGTTAAACTGCAGAGCTTGATGGTATCTTAACATTTAATGCAGATGGTTATTATTTACTTACTGTTATTGTAGAAACTACTTACTATATGAAGTAGTTTCTAGTTTTTCTCTTTCTCCTCTGCTGCTGTCCTGTCCTGTCCTTGGAGAGCCCTCCCAGTCCACCCAGACGTGTTTCAGCAGCAGGATTAGAAAGACCAGTTGACATTCCAAACTGGAATTGATTCCTGTTTTTCCCGCTGGTGGCTGGGAGCAGCTTTTCCTCCAAAGGTGGCTGACTTGATCGGAGCTGGGGTACCAGTGGCAGGACATCGGTCCCCTGGGCTGGCCTGCAGGGTGCTGGCAGGAGGAGGGGCTGTGAGCTGTGACATGTCCTCTCTGTCCCCTCAGCAATCTGCACACCGCGCTGGTCTCCGCAGCTTCATCCGCTACGGCTGGCGCTGGAGCTGGAGGGTCGCGGCTTTCGCCACCATCTTCAAGTGAGTGCTCCCTGATGTGCTGGTGCTTGTCCTTGTCCTTGTCCCTGCCAGCAGTGCCCACAGCTCTGGCCATTGATTGAGGCTCCTGCTGTTACCTTGACCTGAGTCTGGTTGATCAGGCAGGAGCATGAAGAAAGTTTAACCTTTTAGAATTGCCTCAGAATTCTCATCTTCTAATGAATCAACACAAATCCAAAATGTGGAAAAGCCCTGTTTGAACATCTGTTACTGATTTGCATACTGTTCTTTCTTGACAGCTGCTTTCTGCTTTTCCTTCATCTCTTTTTGTGCTTTTTCTCTGAGGGAGTGTTAAAGTGTGTTGGCAGTTTTTGGAAGTGCTTTCTAACCCACACTGATTTTTGTCCTTTCTACAATGTCTCATTGCTCCTGGTTTGTATACGCTGGTGGTACGCACAATTGTCACTACTCCTACTTTGTATACACTGGTGTTACAATTCTTTGTTCTTGTCCTCAGACGCTTGCAGGGGATTGTCTTGTTCTTGAGCAGTTGCTGAATATCAGATCTACTGCTTCTATGTACCTGTTAGGCCTTCAGGTTTTTTCTACACACACAAAGCCAATACAGAGAGTGTTCTGCTTCCCTGATTTTCTTCTTTGGATGTTGCAGGGCATTTCTGGCAATAGAACATCAAACTAAGTGTCGTCTTCTGAGCAAAACCGTTTTAAACTAGAAATATCTCCTTCCCTGTTGTTCAGACTACTAAATTTGTAAATTTAAACCTGCATTGACTCTCTCTGCAGATAAGTTCTCCTTCTGCTTTTAAGATCCCACAATATTGACTGGCATTATTTTATATTTCTATCTCCCTAATTTTTTTTTTGTTCCTTTCTGAATTTCTTCCTCACTGGCTCTTGATGTCTGTGGCTCCTTTTAGTTTACTATCTGTTTTTAGGCTTAGTTAGTGTGCTGTTTGCTTTCCCTCCTGGAGCTCTCGATTTCTTTGGGTTTTCTGGATTTCTTTGGGTTTGACATGTAACCTTGTCGTTTTCCACCAGGTGTCTCCTCTGCAGTCAGATCAGCCCCTTTCTCACCAGCCCTCTGGAAAAGGTTCTGAACAAAGCTATTTGCTGCTCAGCATCATTTCTGTAAAGCCCACGTTGCAAATTCTGTCCTGCAGTTGTGAAAACTTTAAGTTTCACAATTAAAACCCTAATTGTTTTGGTTTATCTGTGTTGGAAAGGAGAGGATGATTGGTGCTGGCTTGTCAATGTCACGCAGGAGGCTGGGGAGTATGTGGCTGCTGAACTGAGAACTGACTGTTTTGAGGCTTAGCTGATGTTTAGGAGGAGTTGGTTTACCCACCCCAGAGGGAAATCTGATGCCACAAGAGTAGGTGACCCTGCTGATGTCATGAGTGTGACTTAGGCTGTTGTACTGGGGACTGTTCACAGGGCAGGATCTTACTGACACATGGATCAGCTTCTGGGGTAAATTCCTACATCAGGACCGGCTGAGTGATGGGACTTTTTCATTGCTCAAATTCTTTTCTCCTTGACTGTATTACATGGTCCTAGGCACTAGAACAGGTAGTTCAGAGAAGCTGTGGATGCCCCATCCCTGGAGGTATTCAAGGCCAGGCTGAATGGAGCTCTGAGCAACCTGCTCCAGTGGAACGTGCCCCTGCCTGCAGTGAGGGCTTGGAACTGGATGATCTTTAACATCACGTCCAACCTAAACCATTCTGATTCTTTGATTCTATATGATAGGAAAGAAAAATCTTTGATTAAAAAGAAGAAAGAGTATCTCAGATCCAGTTCAGGAACTCTGATATTCCCTGGCCCGTGTCTGTGCAGCTGCCCACAGTAAAGTCACAGAAGTCATGGCTGGAGTGGGTGTGCTCTGAACAGATGGGCAGCCAGGCAGTCAGAGGCAACCTGAGGGCTGGCTTAATGAAATCCAGCTTTATTTCAGGCTGTGTTTTGCTACCTCTCTTATTCCATGTGCACTGCTGACTTCTGTGCCTTGCCTCTGCAGCGTGGTGAGCACGGGCCTGTCTGCATACCGCGATAAAACCACCATCAGTAATTTTGCTGCAGCAGGAGGTAAGAGTGCTGTAACCTTGTGTGCTTCTGTTTGTTAGCAAGGGTTGTAGCAGAAAAGCATAAGCAAGTATCCACATCCCTTGGGACTGAGCAGCTTCTGTGCTCTTGGGTTTTGCTGCTTGTTCCACTGACTTTGCTCCGTTGTTTGCCTGCTGCGTGCCTTTATTTGTAACACAGATACTGATGCACTGCTGAAACCATTGGGGAGTTTTGTGGTTATTAGTTCATCTTCAAGATACTTGCTGGAGTATTTTGGGTGAAAAATGCTTCTGTGGGGTGAAGGCAACACTTGGTGCATAACTTGTTCGCATAAGCACCTATTTAACAGGGAAAGCATTTTTTATTTCCACTCTTGGTAACAATCCAGCACACTGTTTATAGGCTGCCCTTTTTATGCTAAGTTTTGCATGCCCACTTTTGGCAACAGGGCTTTGGGTAAGTGATCTGCTTGTTAAGTTTTACAGGCTTTATTGCCTGTACAGCTGGATACACTTTTTACTGATCCTTTCTGCCTTACATGGCAGCTGCTATTATTAGCTGTTGTTGAACAGAAAAAAGGGTGAGGGAGATCATGCTCCAGCCTAGAGAGAGCTTGGCTTTACTTTCATAGATACATCTATGATATGGGAAGAACTTTGGCAGTTTTTCTGAAGCAGAAGGAGCTTTGTGCAGTGTTTCAGTGCAGAGACCATGGTGACTGTGTGGTGAAGGTCTGTCCCACTGGCCGTGGCACTTGGTTTCTGCTCTGTTAAAAGCAGCTGTCAGCTCATGGAGAAGAGATGCAACAAAGCAACTTCCTATGTTGGTTTGAATGTCTGTGGCAGGGCTGTTTCTAGTTTCAGTGGGTTTGTTCTTCTTTTAGCCTTCACAGGAGCCCTGTTCAGGATGCACTTGGGCCTGCAGGGCCTGGTGGGTGGCATTGTGTTTGGAACGGCGTTTGGGTGAGTTGTGACTGCTGCACACACCAAGCCTGGAATCACAGGTGGGGCTACAGGAGCTTCCCTTCTTCTCTTGCCTTGAGGGATTTTCTGTATCCCTTATGGTGATCACTTTTCTCCCAACCTTTAAACCGTTCTTCTTTTCTTCTATGTTTCTTGTTTTGTGTTTTGCTGCTCTCTCAGTAGTGAGAGCTCAGTCCTTTCAGCAGACCATCTTATTTGCTGCTGTTTGCTTATTAGAGGGAACAACATAAGCTCCACCAAAGCTCAAATGGGAAGTAGCAGCCATTAGGAAACAGGGAGTAGGGATGGAGTAGATGCATGGCTGGGCTGTAAGGTGACACGTGTCTCTGCGTGTGTCTTCATGTGTGTCTTGCAGTCATGAATCTCCTGAAGTTCCTGGGGCATGGAGGATCCCAAGGTTCTGTCTCAGAGGCTCTGTGCTTCTAGACAATGACCTCTAACTCAGAAGAAATCTGACTTTTCAAGCAGGACTGGGATTTCTTCTCAATGTTCTGACCTGTAAATATCCTCACACGTGAATCTGAGGATCCTACCTGAAAAAGAGAATGAGCTTTATTTGTGCTGCTTGGCACCATCAGGATGGTGTCAGCTGTGAGCATGCCAGGAAGCAGCCTAGGGAGCTTTACCAGTGAAAACACAAGTACTTCCAGAACTGGATGGAAGCTGAGCAGGGGTGTCACTGTCTGAGATATGGTTTAGGTGTTCTATGGAGTCTGCATTGGGAACCATAAATCCTTCCACTCCTTTGTCCTGTGTGTGCCTGTCAATGAGTAAATTCAAAATATGCTATCAGCAGGGCTCTGGTGGGTCACAGCTGAAGAAAGGCTGTGGTTGGTGGGTGACAGGAGAACAGGAGTACCTTAGTCTGTGGTGTGATGTGAGTTTTAGACCCCTGCATGCTCCTTTTGCTGATGCCAGTAAGTTATTGCTGTTGTGTGTCCCCTGGGTGACTGGTGACTTCTCTGCTTCCTCCTTCAGGGTTCCTGCAGGAGGCCTCCTCATGGCCATGTACGGCTTGGCTGGTGAGACCTTGCAGGAGAAGAGGAGCCGTGAGCGCAGGGAGCTGTACGAGCAGAAGCTGGCAGAGTGGTGAGGAACAGCTCTGTCCCTTCAGTCGTGGACTAGAAGGGTGTCTGGGCCTGTGGGTTCAAACATTTAGAGAAACCATGACACACTAGGTTTTCTAAACCTCAGTTCTTCTCTTGCTTGTTGGTGTTGTTCACATACCAGTCTTAGAAATGCTGATTTAGTCTTCCCAGTCTTTCCTTCACTGCTGCCTTCTTTCCATCCCTATTAAAGTGAGGAAAGAAGGAGGATAGCTGGAGGCTTGTGGGGAAAAAGGCCATGACACTGGTCATGTGAATTACTGAAACTTACTCACTAGTTCTAGAAGAAATTTTCAAGAGCTTGGATTCTGCACTCATGTCTCTGTCAGGAGAATACAGGCATAAAATTGCTTTTCACTCTCTCTTCTCTCCTTAGGCAATCCAGGCTCAGTATGACTGAAATCTTAGGCCAAACAGAAAGCAATGCCCAGGGAAGACCAGAGATGGAGAGAGCAAGAGAATTGAAGAGCTACTGAGTCTTCCCCAGATTTCAGTTGTAAGAAGTTACGTAGAATTTTGATCCAGCTTGTAAAAGCCTTCAGTTGAGGAATCATGGAAGTTGTCTGTGAATGCAGTGAAAATGTGTTTTGCTGAAAACATTGTTCAGGGGTGGATATCACTGCACAAAGAGCTTGGAAGGGCCAAACCTGTTCCACCTGAGAAGATGGAAATGCAGACTTTACAGACCAGGAAGTATCATGTAGCTTTGGGAAGAAGTGAGGGTTCCAGAGCCTCATCTAGAACCCATTTCACTGCTGAAAATGTCCAAACCACCAATGATGTAGAAATACTCAAGGTAAAGGAGCCTATCAATGGTTTGTGTGCTAAAGGTGCCCTGAATCCAAAAGTTCATTATGCCCTGGTGAAAGCTGCTCTTCAGACAGTGCCTGAGGAACTTGCTGATGGTGGTTTCTTACTTGGCTCCTACAGTACTTGGGGTATTTTGCAGTCAGTGTGGAAGAAGGGTGGAGGAGCTGGGAATTACATAGAAATACCCTGAAAAAGGCATGTTTTGGGTTCTTCAGTAGAGGCCTGAGGGTGCCACAGAAAACATGACTTATTTTTGGTGGTGACAGTGGAAGCCTTGGTGCTGTGGACAGTTTTAACAATAAGAAGGCCTGTAATTCCCTTTGCAAGTTGGATATCAGGGGATGACCTCTGGCGGAAATGTAGTTCAAGACACTCAATAAAGCCATCCAGCAGTGGTGACTGTGTCCATAAGCTCTTTGTGCCAGTACAACCGGTACTTTATACTCGTACAGTGTTGGTACTAGAGAAGCATCCTTAAGTGGTATTCCTTGAGAAGAGCTCTAAGATGCCACCAGACATTCCTGTACCCAGGCAGTAACAAAGGCAAGAGCCACAAGAGTGCCGGTTATATTATTATTATTATTATTATTATTATTATTATTATTATTATTATTATTATTATTATTTTGTTCCAGAGATGAACTGTTCAGTCAGAGCTGTTACCTGTGGGTGGTGCTGGAGTTACTGTAAGATGGTCTGTACTCAGAAGGGTGAGGTGGCCCATCACTGTTCCCCCAAAGCAGGAGGTCAGAATTCCTGTTCCCTTTCTTCGTTCTCCTACTAAAAGGGATTACATCCCAGCAGGATTTTTGGGTGTTCTTCTCATAAGAAAAGAATCTGTTCTGGTTGAATGTTTTTCCAGATAATTAGTGTTGATTGAAATATGAACAGTCGATCCCACAGAGTGTATTCCACCCACCCAAAGCAGATTTTTGGCACAGTTTGCTTTCAAGAAGGTGTTGTGTTTTCTGACTCCTGAAGTGAGCATTTAATTTTCTAAACACTCCAGTGTAGCTCATTTTTTCCACTGAAGAAACATGTATTTCAGGGTTGTCATCAACCAGCTGATTTTCCTTTTCTATGTATATGTGAATGATCTGCATAAGCAGAGATTTGGATATATCTTTCTCTCTCCCTGTTTTAAGCTGCATGTGCTGGTGACAGTAATGGTGCTGTCCTTTGCCCCCCGCCCCCTCCCCCAAAAAAAAACAAAACCGAAAAGAGGCCTTTTTCTAAGTCACATTTTTGCCATCGTGCATACACAGCGATGTCTAACTCATCTTTTTTATCTTCTTTCTTCTTGCTATTACATCCCCACCCAATATCCCACAGTCTTATCTGTACAGCAGCTCTGATGACATTTAGCTGTGTCATTGCTCTCTCTATTCCTGTTTGGTGGTATTTGATGTGATGCCTAAAGAATACTGATTTTCCTGTGCCTGACCATTGATGCAGGGATGTTCTTCCATGAGAGGGAAGGCTGTGAGCCAAGGTGTAGCAGTTGTGTGGATTTTCTCTCTGTGCAATGGAGGGCTGCTACATGTTCTTAAGGGGAAGCAGAGACTTCCAGCTACACTCAAGATTAGCAGCCATTTGTTTCTCAGTTTTCTGCTGAATTTAGTTCCCCACACTTCCTTATTTCTTAGACTCCCAAATGGGGAGTGAAGAATTGATTCAGAGTTTGTTTCTTACATACCTGTAAAGGACTCTTCACATCCTCACTCCCTCCACCCCCAGCAAAAGCACTGAAATTATTGACCCTCCACTTTCAGAGTAGGTAACCCAAGTAGGCGGGGTACAGTGAGAACACTTTACTCTGGGTTTTGCTTTTGCAGCGAACCTCCTGTTTGGAGGGAGAAGGATGATCTGTGGCTACACTGCTCAGCTAACCCCTGGCAAACTGAGAGATGTCAGGGGTGTGGAAGTCACAAGTTGTTACCTGAGTGTCATTTTGTCATTGCTGTCAGCACACTGGACAGTGCTGTAGCTTGATGCCAGCTGTACCTGGTACAGCTTTGTCAACACCTGCATCACCTACCTGGATGCTGTGAAATGGTGGCTAACATGAACAACAGAGAGGTTCTACCCAGTGCCTAGACAGACATATTTTATTACTAAGGAAAGGAAACTAATTTTAAAACTTATTTTTTAATACAATTAAAGGAGGACCCCACTAAACAACATTATATACAAAACACCCATGGTAAACAGAGCAGCTCACTTGCTACAATGACACAGATATAAAGCTGAGAAGGTCTCACAGAAACCATTTGTGTACAATTCACTGAATACAGCATAAGGCAATAAAAAACATGATCCAGAGTATTAGTGATTAATGAAAAATGAACCAAATAACCTGATGCTAGAAATATTTATCAGTGAAAATTTTGGATTCCTTTAGAAGGAGTTACTGGAAGTGTTACTGGAGTCTGTGGTGATGTGGAAAGGTTTGGCACAGAGCAAAAGAAAAACCCTTCTCCAGGAGGCTGCACAATGACTGGTCAGGAGCAGAAGAAGAGAGCATGGGATAGTGAGAGGGGAAACATGCTGGTACAACTGGCAGAGCTGTGGTGTGGCTGGCAAGGTGCAGCTGCGGTGTGGTTACAGGGAAGAACACTGCTGGAAATCAGCAAAGTTGGAAGTGAATGCCAAGAGAGGGTGGTCAGCCTGCAAGGAGCTGCTGGTTTGTGCTGGAGCAAGCATAGGCTGAAAGAACAGGAAACCTGAAAAGTGTGAGACACATCACTCATGCACCAAGTCCTGCAATAAGGTCAGGCTGCCTTTTGAAAACACCCTGATTTCTGTGCAAACAGAACACTTGTGTTCTGTTTGCAGCCAGAACACACAAGTGCAATTGCTGCCTTAACCCCCAGCTTACCTCCTTTTCTCTGTCAAAAACTCCTCTGTAAGAATGTCCTGAAGTTCCCATTATACTTGCTACAATGGTAAAAAGGTGATGGCACAGCATGACTCTGCAGGAGTAGGAAGGGAGCATTGTCTTATTTTTTACTTAATCCCAGAGCTCAGTATCCTATAAACCACTTTTAATCCCCCTATTTTCTCCAGCAGTTTCTCAATATGTACCAACTGGAAAAAAAGTGAAATGGATGGACTATGTCTTTGCTGTGTCCTAGGAAGATAAGCGGCTCAAATAACAACACATCTCACAGAGAGGATGGCACTGTGCTTTCAGGCTTTGGTTTGCCCTGATAACGAGGATAGAACAGCGAGGGAATAGGTACTGCTTGCAGAGCAAAAGGGAAAAACGTTCCAGTTAAACTTGTCAAAGTTGCTTAGGAAGCTTATTGGGGGTTGGGGCATTTTCCTCCTTTCCCCTCAAAATGAGAAGCCATTTTTTCCTACACAGTAGGCAAGAATGTCACCTGGATCAGATGAGTCCTGTTCAAAGTCATCATCCGGTAGAGAAATTCCTTCTAGTCCTGGGTGGGTAGAGAGAACACTGGCAGAAAGCGGCGATGTTCGGTGCAAAGTAAATATCCTCATGCTGCTGTGAGAAACTCCCAAAAATCTGCAGAGCTTTCCCTAACAAGTATCCCATGGCAGATGTACACACAGAAGCAGACCCATGTTTATGAAGCAAGGCCCCGAGTTACATTTGATTACAGTAGATAACACGAGCTCACCACTGGCTGTCACACAAGTTCCAATGGGGCTTTGCAGGTGTGGCTGGGAAGGAATTGGCCATGTGTGTGCACAGGTGGTGTGCCCTCACACAGCAGCTGAATGGAGGAGCTGTACCTCGGTGCTGGGGTTGGCAAGGCTGTCCTTTCAGGAGAGAAAGGGTATGAGAACTTGTGCCACTGCAGTAGGTAAGCAATATTAATTAGCTCTTAGGAGTGCTGTCAGTGTGTACCATTCCCTAAAAAGTCTCATAGCACTGCAAATAAGCATGAGGCACACAGAGTCACTTCCAAGGTGTCTTTTTTCATGAAAAACGTGTCCACTAGTTCCTCTTCAGGGGAGAAGGGATGTGTATCTGTAACGAGTCCAAATCCAAAGTCCTCCAGCAGGAAGATCAGATATTTGTGTGAGGCTGAATATAAAAGAAGTTTTGGCCGCTCCCACTCACGACATGGAGGCACAAACTGACAAGACTGCATGTCAGCATTTGGGGTGTCCCAAAGGGCAGCTCCGTGTTACTGAAGGGGTAGGTGGGCATGGGCTCCCTGCTAGGGCTCTGCCTGATTCTCACAGAGGCAGCATCAAAGCCAGAGGTTGCTGAAGCCTTGACCTGGTGTGCCAGTGATGACACCCTCCAGCCCCGCTGCAGGAACACGGAGGTCCTCTCGGCTGGAATCCCAACGAGGCCAGCGCACAGCTTCCGTGGCGTGGGCGGGGGTTCGCGTTCGTCCGCAGGAGGTCGTGTTTCAGCCGCGGTGAGCGGAGTTTGCTGCTGCTGCCGCCCCCTCGCAGAGAGCCCAAGGGTTCATGCCGCAAGCATCGCTGTACAGCCAGCAGCGGAGTCTGCAGCGCGGGATGCACAGCGTGAAGAACCTGAGGGACCCGAGGAAAAGATTTCACTGACTTTTTGTTTTTCACGCCGTAAATGTTCCCCAGTAATGCTGCGGAGCCGTCCAACAGGTATCACCTGCGAGAGCCTTCCACAAGAGGGCTCCTGGTCCCTAAACTCGGAGCTGTTCTGAGCGGGCAGGGCAGCCTGGCCCACGCTCCCTGCAAAAACCTTGGGAACAGCGGGAGGATGATTAATGAACGTGCTTCCCTACTTAAGCAGCAGCAGGACATGGCTCAGTGCATCACGAGATGGCAGTCAGCCACCAAGGAAGCACAGCTTCCATCCCAGCCCACAGAATGCAGCTGTCCCAGGCGCTGGAGTTGGGAAGCACCAGCCACCTACAGGAAAATCCTGACAAACTTTTATAACAAAAGAGAATGGGTTTATTCTGTAGGTGAACTCCTGCCACTCGCATCACAAAACTCCCCAAAATTCATGCTAGTTCATTCTAGTATCTGTTCCAGACAGGGCCTTCCCCGGAGGAAAACATGAGTGGGTGGTCAGGTTTGGAAATGAGACAAGTGGCCTGAATGAGAGTTTCCCCTCCTTTCCAGCTCCAAACTATTAAACTTTTAGATTCTGCAGTGGTCAGTTTGACAAAGTCGTGACTTCCAGGTCCCCACAGTTGCTGCTCTAGGGCATTACCCTGGCAATTCTGCGGGCATTACCCTGGCAATTCTGCAGGCATTACCCTGGCAATTCTGCAGGAATTACCCTGGCAATTCTGCATGCTGTGGCGAAAGTAGGAAATGCAGTCACCTGGATAATGATGTGAATAAGAACAGTTAACTGCTAATCTTCACTTAACTGTCTTTTTGGAGGACACAGCCCTGAAAACTGCTGAGCTTTCAAACCAAAGCA